CGCCAGAGGTTCGGCCATTTTTAAAACGTGAATGCCACACAAAAGTTTGCGGACTCCCCAAATGTTTGCTTTAGCATTTCATAGGTTTCCTTAGCCGTTTTGGCGAGTCTTTGGCAACATTTGATGCACACGCCATTCCGAAATCGCAGGAGGGTCGGTGTAATGCACTACCAAAACGCCCGTAACTAAGAAACAAATGCTAATTCGATGATGCCGGCTGGCACACTGATTCACTATGAATGTAGGCCGCACCCCCTAGCGGCAGAAGCTCGTACTACATCCGGTTCGCCCTCTATTGACACAGTCTTGAAACTTTCCGATCGCACCTCGTATGTTACCGGCAATGTATGAAATCCGGCAATGTACAGAATGCCTAAAGTCAGTAGGCAAAGTATGAAATAAATAGTAATATTAATGTTGTTTGGTTGTGTAAATTAAAATTAATCAAAGTCGATTGGGCAAGTTATCAAGATGGAGGTTGTGCAAGACAATCGCGAAAACACCAAGCTACTGAATTTGAACATAACAAAATTTTGAGCATTAAAAAAAGATTTATATTAAGTTTTGCAAATATAAAAGATAAAATAAAACTGTATAAATCGTATTATAGAAACTTTTTGTTATAAATAATGTTAACATTTTATAAAATTCCTAGGTATTCTATAAATACTTAGGCAAAGTATAAAATAAACTGTTAGTTTCATACATTGCCTAAAAGTTCTAGGCATTTTATAAAATACCTGGGCATTCCACAGAATGCCTGAATTTCATACTTTGCCTACAGACTTCAGGCATTCTACACATTGCCGGATTTCATAGTTTGCCGGTAACATATACACGAAACCATGCAAGTTAAGATATACCTTTGCCTAAGTAACACATTCATTCACTTGTCCTTGTATGGCCCAGAGATCTGCGTTGTTAAGTGAATACCATTTTCATGCAGCTAAATAAACATTTTACCTGTCATCGTCAATGCAACGGCAAAAACACTGTACGTTTAGCACAGTCAACACTTCCCAAGTTCATCTCAAGTGAAGAAATAACATTATGAACACCACGTCTAGCGACTGAACACACCGCCTAAGAAAGTCGACTAGTGCCGAACAATTTCATTGTACTTTCCTGGATGCTACCTCACGATAAAGTTTTAATTGAGGCTGTGCTCATGAACCAAAACGCACACGCAACATAACTTTTGCGAACGCCTTGGTACGGCGTTTATTTATATACGCGTGCTCTGTGTTGCAGTTTCAAGAGGTTCAAGGTTCGGATGCAGTTCTTTTTCTATGAAAGTGTGAAGTGAAATTTTATGTGAGAGTAGCAACAAAACTGGCAAACACGTCTCGGTAGCGACGCCACTGTAGCCCAAAATCATTAGCATAAAAATGACCAACATAAACGTCAAAAATTCGGTTCATTGGCCCGTTCTGTCACCATTAAATTATTCTTTGGTCGGTCCCTCCTTTTATTGATCTTCCAAAATTAAGTTTTCATCATGAATCATAACTCAACTCTGGGATAAGATTTTCTTCAGTTAATTTATTCTGCAATCTGAATTTTTGTATATAATTCCGAGTGTAACTCCTGAAGAACACGTTTTTAACAACATAGGTCCTTCTTTTCATCATTTTGTATCACTCCCCAAACTTATCATCTGTTGTAGTGTAAAGTATCGTAGGTAAGACAGGAGAATGGTCCGGCGTTGTGAGGCATCGTCATTCTGTGCATAGATGAACTTTCTTTTAAGAAATTGAAAGTTTCGTCTGCCAAGTTTCCTCTCTGTAAAAACTCTAACGGTCGAATACTTTTCTAGCTAGCTAATAGACTGTGCACAGCTTTCTATCCGGTAGATTTCGTTCTAGCTTCCAAGTGTATGTCCCTGGCTCACCTTCTGTACAGTGCAGTGTTCTGCAACCGGTGTGCCGCATAAAGTTTACTGGTGTGCCGCGAATTTTTATGAGAAATTGTATAATCGTACTTCATAGTTAGAAAAAAAGGCAATATCTTGTAATTTATAATTAGAATTCGTAGCACACAAACACACAGTTTCGTCATTGATAGTTTTATCCAACATGTGACGTGTTTTAGTTTCATATGCCTGCATTATTTTCGGGCAAGGTAAATACATAGATACATATTTGTGGCCATATTTAGTTTCGTACCCCTTTTCCGTAAGGCGAAATTTTATGGCGTTCCATCATGTGTCTTTGACAGATCAGGGTGTGTCGCGGGTGAAAAAAGTTTGTGGAACTATTATTAGCCTAGTATTGTTAAATCCGAAGATGGCTTCAGGCAGTGTGTTCTCTGTGTCGCAAGAAACATTTTACAAGATTTGTAGGAGGTGTAAAGTAGCCAGAATTTACAAAACAACAGAATGAAAGCAATATTTCGTATTCCGTGAAAGGTTAACGAATGACAGTCTTGCCTGGTCTTGAAGTTCCGCTGTTGATTGAATTCAGTAAGGGTCTTCCGTGCTCGGTAAATGAGTGGATCAATCATCGACTCACTAACTAACTAAATCCCTGGTAGCAGCAAGTCC